ATATATACACATATAGCAAGTTTATGGATGAGGATAGTGGGAGACATTCACCAAATTTCAGTGAGATCTACAGGGATATTTGCTTCTTGCTCTTAAAACCTATTTTAAAGTGGGATGGGGGAGCTGGTGGTGGATGAAGTCTAGTATGTATCATGAGAAATATGTTGATTGTGCTGTCAATATTATTTCCTTCCTTTTCCTTCAAAACCCTACCTGGCATCCCCACCTCATTTTTTTAAGGGAAGCTGCGTGTGATTGCAGTTACACTTTATATGAACTAATTGGATCAGGTGTGTTTTACAAACATGTGAAACTGTGTTGCAGGTGCTTCCTTTCCTGCGACTTGTAAAGAGTAACAATATCATTTCTGCCCTCACTTTCATTCTCCCCCTTTCTCCTCCTACCCACATCCAATTTTAGAAAAGTGACTGAACCTGTAATAGCCCTCAAGTCCTGTGCAAACTCACAGCTGTGTATCAGGTCATGCCCACTGCTAGGTAGCTCTCTTGTGCTTTTGTTTTGGTTTTTGCCAAAGCTGGTGGGCTGTCCTACACAACTCCAGAATTCAGTTTGGCTAGTCACAAATGTTGTCCTAGTGGGGTTTTGTTTTGTTTTTTTTGGACAAAAGTGTGAATCCAGTGGTAATATGATAGAAGGTTGGCAGGCTCTTCACCAGAATACTTCTGGGATGTTCCAGCTGCTGAGGTGTTAATGGTTCTGCAGAAGGCTTGGCTTGGGGAACAGTTCTTTCAGCTGCTTGTTTTAAAATTGGAGAAGTGGGTGGATAGCCTGGCTTCTCTTGTAAGATAAACGGCAGAGGAAGAATGGCCAGTCATACGCATTGCTGTTTCAGTTCAAGTTTGTGAAGATTCACAGGCAGGAGGTCTCAAAGCCCCCAGATCTATTTGCATCAGGTCTTTCTTGCTCTAAGGTGTGGCAGTGACTTTAAACCAGGAACTACCTCTTGATCTCTGCAAAGTAGACTGCAGATTATTTTCGTATGTCTTTTTTTTTTGTAACTGGCACATCCATGGTTCCTTAGCCTTTTGGCTAAGATCAAATGAAAATACCCATTTTCTGTTGTAACTGGCACTTCTTGACAGCCAGCAGTCTGCAAGATTGTTCTGAAAGTGATCTATGAAGAGTAACACACTTATGTGAAGTTTAGATTACATGTGTGGTTCAGTGACAGCGCATGAAGCCCACTTCCACCAAGCACCTTTCCATACGTATTTGGAGTGAAGATGATGATCATGGGTTAATGCCCGTGCAGTGCACACAAAAAAATGTACAGCATGACTGGATGTGAATAGCAGGGAGCTGCAGACCAGGAGGACATGCTTTTCCTGCGGGGCAGAGGCCCCATAAAGATAATTTCAAGACAGCTGTCTTTCATTAGGAGCCAGTATTAGTGTCTCTCTCACCTTTGAATTAGAGCACATGTGGAATTAAGAAGATGTGTCCTCTCCAAGCCTGGTGCATTAGAAAGGATCTCCCCACACCAGGCATTTTTCTTGAAACAAAAGCCCATTTTACACTCATGGTCTTCAGTGGCCAAAGATCTGCTGGGTATGTGTAAAAAAAAAAGTTCCAGAGGCTGCCTTCCATTAGCTGTATCTGGAGGTGAAACTGACCTCAGGAAAAGTGCAGGTAGATCTGCCTTGTTCTGCAGCAATCTGGAGGAGGCTGCACGCATCCTCTAACTTTGTCCACGTGCAAGAGAAGAAGAAGAATTCATTTAACAGAAGCTAGCAATTCTTTCCTCGGGAACAAATAGTTCTGTTGAAGTCTCCAGTGTGGGAGCTGAAGTTAGATTCCACACATACAGCCACGTCTATGCATTCTGTATGGCACTGACATACTAGAGGCTTCCAGAGTGATGAAGAGCACCCACCGTACTGCAAGAGGGCATTGCTTGCCTGTCGTGTACTGCTGGCCTACCCATCCCTCCTTTAAATTGGAAAAAATATAGGAGGAAGTAGGAAGCTACTCCTAGGAAATGCTAGAGGGACGCTGCTATCTCCAAGACTAGGCCCCTCTTTAGAAAAGAGACATAATCAAAAGCTGGGGGGGGGGCAATTTGCATCACTTAGTTTATTCGACAGACTTAGCTTATTCGACGGGGGTGCACATTTCACTTGGCATTTAGTGTGGGTTGAAGTTTTGCTGTCTTAGAATGCTGCTGGAGAAAGCAATGTTTCAACTCTCATTTTAGAGCTCATTTGAAGGAATCCAGCTTGTGGGGATCTTTTTTGCTGGCTTTTCTAAATACTTCATTGAGTCTGAAAGTAGGAGGTTTTAGCAGATGACCTCTTTAGCGGTCATAGTGCATGTGCTGTAGATGATACAGTATCTGCCCTCCTTGGAAACAGTTAAGTCTGTACTGAAGTGGCCAAGCATCCAGAAGTAGGTTTTATTGTGGCCCAGCCTTTTCCAACTTGCCATCCTCTGGGTCTTTCCCAGCCTTGTGGGAATTGCGGTCCAGTATATTTGGAAGGTGCCAGGTTGGAGCAAACTGGACTTGTGGATTGATGGGGCTGAAGTAGAGGTTTGGGTGTTTGTAGCCCCTTGGAGGGAACTACAGGCGACTCCAGGTATGAGCATCTCACAACATGCCTTGGATATTGGCCTCTCTATTGTCTTCCCGTCCGGTGAGCAGGGCTACAAAATTTCACTTCTGGCTTTAAAAACATTATTTTATCCCTAGCAGATTTCTTTGCAGGGAAGTTTTGTGTAATTATTTCAGTGCAGCCGGTCCTGGTCTTGGAAAACCTAGCAAAGAACCCTCCCTTTAGGAGCAGTTGATAAGCTGATGTTCTTTCCTTTTCTGCAGTGTAAACAGAAGAGGCTTGTCCAACTCACCTGCATCATTGTCAGGGTGGGGGAATGGATAGTTCTTGTCACCTGCAGCTTCTCTTTCAGCACAACTCTTTCTCAAGATCAGTGCTAGATAAAGTCATCTGCCCGACTCCATAGCTGTAGTCCTGAAGACCTGAAAGATCTTTGCTGGAATCTGTAAATAGCGAAGAACAAGTCACTTTCAAGATGGAATAGTTACATCAGAGGAGCCGGGACTTGGATTTGTAAGGGCACCCTTATCAGACTGGCTATTTTCTGTTGCAAAGCCTTGTCCTCATCGGGCTCCTTGGGAACCCCTGTCCAGCCAGGGTCATCACTGCCAGTGTCTTTGCTTTCCGCCTTCATTCTCATCCTTCTGTCTCCCCACTGTCTCCTTTCTCTGGGACTCCGTCCGACTTCTGCTTGGTAGCTGAGCCTTACCTGTCTAGTTCTGGCTAGACGTCTAAAGATTGTAGCCTGCTTCTCCATGCCAGGACCTGATGCCTGGCAGGCCACAAACCTCCTTACAGTATTCACTGTGGGTAATTTATTTAACTAGTGAATGTAGAGTTTAAAATAATTTAAAAGGAAAACTAATGGCTTGTTTGCAAGATTGTATGTCCTTTGTACTTGGCCCAGTTTTCATGATTTGTGTTCCTGGTTTTGGGTTGTGCAGGAAGGGATTCTCTTCTGGGCTCAGAATCCAGCTAGGGGATCCTGCTTGGAGGAGAAAATAGGGGTGGGGGGCTCACTCTCCAGGCACTTTCCTATCGCAGGGCTGGCACGTCTGTCACGCCCACCCACCCACCGGACACTAGGGAGATATGGGGCAAGAATAGCAGGGAGGGGCTGCGGCAGCTTCAGCACCACTGCTGGGAGCCTGTGCATCGCTTCTGCTGCTTCCGTCCACCGTGTGTCTTCCCCATTCTTGTGAGCACTAAACATATACCTAAATGGCTTTTAAAATGAGGAATGGTTTTAATGTCGTTGGGAATGATTTCTTTTGTTCTTTTGTGGTCTGCGTTTCAAGTTTCTGTATGTAATGTAGTTAAAAAATATTGCCAAACCATGCTGTCTCCGTGTATGTGTGTGACTGGTCAACGTGCAGTGCCTTTCTAGATGGGCTGTAGTGAACTCGGTCTTCCCAAAGGGGCGTCAGAGAATGCAGAGCCATCTTCTGGGGGGGAAAAGCCTGTCCTTTTGTAAAATAAAGATGTGGTGGTCTTTTGGGCATGGTGAAGTCTAAACCAAGGGCCAAGAGTAAGTCTGTGCCCACATGGCCTGTGACAGCAGTCCTGACTTTTTCCCTGGCCCACACCCATTTTTCCTAATTCCACCCCAACACACACACACACACACACACACAATCACATACACTCTTACACTTAAGACCTTCTGCATTGTGTCCCAGTAGGTTTGATATTTACACTGTCCTACCTGGGGCTTTCTGTGAGAGGGAGGAGGAGGAGTCCACCTGGAGGGTGACACCCTTGGGAGAACCTGGGATGAAGCCCACCTGTCAATCGTCTTTTAATCATATCCCACCTTTGCTTAAAGACCTTTTGCTTGTAGAGCATGTGGAGAAGGCCCTGCTCCTGTCATTTCAGTGTGGTTGGCCTTTCCTTCAGAGCCATGGGTGATTATCTGTGCCTTCTCCTCTGTTGGTAATGCTGTAACCCCTGACTTGGTTCAGGCTGCTGCTGCTGCCCCCAAAGAACTAGGGAGGCTCCTCAGGCCTGTCCCCACCACCAAGAAGAGGATGAGAAGCCCTTCCCGTTGCTTGAAGTTGCGGCTTGCCCTGGGGCTGGCAGTTTGTGGCATTTAAATATGTCTGGAGGAAATCGAACAGGAAGAGAATGTGCTCTTATTTTTGGACCCTGAATCAGATTTAGAGAGCAGCCTGTAAGAAAGAACTTCATTGAGCAAATGCAGGACCAAACAAATACCACCCCAATGGAAACAGTGCAGCACACTTAGTGTGCCCCGGCCCCCCCATGCCTACTTCCCGATGAGGATCCTGGGAGCCAGATCACCCAGGGTTTGTGATCTCTGAAGAGTTGCCTATGAGGAATGTTACCTTTTTTACCCCACTTGAGTGCCTTCTGTAGCGATTTCAAACCTATTTTCATTCACACAACAGCAGATGCTTACTTAAAGGAAACAGCAGACGGGGTAACGGCATCATGGAAGTTTCTTGGGGAACACTGCAAACCCCTTCCTTAAATGTTAGAACGGTTGCAGCCAAATGGGCCACGTAGTCCTGGATACTCTCAGAATTTGTGGAAGGCAATATATAAATCCTGCAAATTGGGACACCGTATCAGGGCATGGGTGGAAACTGGCATATCTTCACTGCCCTGCTATGTGCTTGTATGTTTGGGTCGTCTTTTTTTAATTCCAGGTCTGCACATCCCCTTTTTTCTGTTACCGAAATGAAGGGCCAGGGCAGCGGGGAGGGGTGGTTGAGGCTTGGAATAGAAACTCGATGTTTCTAAATATTTTTTCGTTCTAGCATCTCGTTTACACCAAAGGTATTTGCATTACAGCAGACCTTTAACAGCAAAATGTATAGACGGGCAGTAATTTTGAAGCTGGCAAATCACGTGAAGAGGACCCGCTGAGCTTCAGCTTCAGAGGTGGAGCTGAAGATGGGGCGGCACGGCGTTCAGGGTTGGTCCCCGGTCGAGGGTAACGGCAGCTCAGGATCGGCTGGGGATGGGGAACCGGTGCCTGGCCCAGCGCTCTCTGCAACTCGCGGGTCCCCCCCAGTTCCCTGCAGGGGGACGGCAAGATGCGCGCCAACCGCCGCCGCAGAACCTCCGGCGCCCCGCGCTGGGCTGGACCTGGCTTTGCCGAGAGCGGCCCCCAAACCTGCGCCCCCCATGCAGCGGGGGAGTTCGAGTCGCAACACAGCTGGAAGACCGGGAGGGGGCGTGGGAGAAGCGGCCCGCCTCCCTAGTTTCGAGCGGGGCTTGCGCGTCCCTCCGCGCAGCGCAGACCTCCCGCCCCGCCCCGCCCCGCAACGGGCTGAAGCAGGCCCGGCCCCCGCCACGGTCGCAGGCAGGAGAAAGGGGCACAAA